CCTCCTTCAGAACAACCATTCCAACTCCATGCCAAATCTCCCAAAACAAAACAAAACTTCAAATTATCCATCCATCATATGAGAAGAAGAAGCAAGGAGAGGTCTTGAGTCTAGACCATGAAGAGATATTTCAGATCATCCACTGTAAGGCGAGTTCCAGACCTACCAGCATGGTCTTCCCCAAAAGCAGATGCAACCATTTCTCTCTTATCCTCCTGCCAAATGGTACAACACAAGAACATAATGAGAATTTATTTGACAGATGCAGTCTATCTTCATCTCAGTCACACAAACTCCCCCCTCTCATATATATCAAAGCCTACTAAATAAATAACCTTTTTAAAAAAATATCACTTCATGTGCTAATTTTGACTTTTCTCCTTTAACCATAATAGAACTTCTGTTAATTTTACAAGTCCAATTTTGTTTAATGAATTACAAGAGTAAGCAATATTAAAAAGGAGCGGTTAATGGTGAAAGAGAAAACAATTAAGAACTTGTAAAGTCCGATTGGCTGTTAAGCCTCACTCACTCCTGTTCACCTAAATCCGAAATGGCCACCATGTATGAACTCATTTTGGCACATACAAGAAAATTAAACTGGCGGATATTGTACCTGTAGAGACAGTATCCGATCTTCAACGGTATCTTTTATAGTAATCCTTGTCACGGTAACAGGACGAGTTTGTCCAATTCTATGGGCTCGATCAATAGCTTGATCTTCAGTTGTTGGATTCCACCACAGATCCAAAAGAATAACATGACAAGCAGCAACCATATTCAATCCAAGGTTTCCTGCCTTTAGTGACATCAGCATAACAGTTATCTGAAACGTATTTCAATTAATCAGGCAATTGAGACACTTAAACCACAGTAGATAATTGAAGTCCAAGTAGAAGCAAAATATACCGACTAAAATTGCAACGACATTATTGATATAGCCATTAAGAGGCTTAAATTTTATATCACTTAGTCTACCAAGAATAGTTTCTCATTGCTTTGTGCCATTTATTGATTCGCATATAAAAGTTACAGCTATAACAATGTCGGGAAGGGCCAAACCTCAGGTTCAGTATTGAAATCCCTAACAGCTTTGTCCCTTGCACCCAGAGTCATCCTACCATCAAGTCTCCTGTACAGTATACCAAATTGACACAATGATGTCTCAACTAAATCCAACATGCTAGTCCACTGGGAAAAAACTATAGCCTTTATCGGTCCTTCAGTTGTGGACTTTGAATTCTTTCTTGTGTGTTTTGCAACCCTATCCTCTGAATCACTGTCATCAATCTCTAGATCAATAGAATATGACGGCGAATCTCTACAACATCCAGAGTTTTGTAAGTCAGAATTAGATATTTTTATTTGACAATTTGACTGCATAACCTCAAGAACAGCTTTGATTTTAGATGAAATGTAATTATCCCGTTGCACTAGCGAATAATCACTTAGATGTGAATTTGAAGAACTAGAAGTGCCACTATCATCATAGATACAACTCTTCAAAGTAACTTTTGAGTAAACAAGATCATCACCGATTGTTTTTTTACAATTTACAGCAGGGCACGTATTATCATCACCAGACAAATATTCCTGTACACATTCATAACAGAAGACATGGCCGCACATTGTAATAACAGGGCCATGAGGGCGATCCTGTTAAAATATAGTGCATATCAGCCACAGCCATTATTGACATCAAATCTCTACTTACCACCCATTATAACAGGTTAAATGATAAATCAAAATCTAAAATCACTTTAAGTTCATAGGGAAATAAAGAATTATGTTATTGATAACAATCACACAAATTACATTCTCATCACCTCTGTTTGTAATTATTAAACTCTCTGAAAAAAGAAATACAAATATGCTAAAACGAATAAACATATTTTGAAGATATTTTTTCCTAATCAATATAGAGATGTTGATGATATTTTTATCCTAATAATCTATTATTTACATTACTCTCTCAAGTTGGTAAATAAATATCGATTCTTGAATATCGATCGTTTCCAACTTACTTACAAGAGCCTAGAATCTATCCTGAAGTAGTCCACCAATGAAAGTGTCTGCTATTTGTTATCTCATATCATGTCGTACTGGATTGTCGGTAAGATTAATTTAGTACTTTTTGAAGAGGACTTCCCTCTAGTGCTTCATCTCTTAAGGACCCCTTTTCTGATGTCATGACAGGTCTTGTCGATTCCTCCTTTAAACATGACAATCCTCCAAGTTTCTTCTCCCCTTACAATTAAAATACTTTACAAAGACGAGGTAATTTTTCTTTCCCCTACGCTTTGTAGGCTAATTGGGTCATATTCATGTAGGAATTTAAAGATTTTA